CTACCATTATCCATAAAAAAAACAAGTTTCTTGTATGGGGAGCACCTCTTAAATATTTCTTTTATTGTTTTTAGTATTTGTTGTTAAAGCGAAACTCGGAAGTACAGAAATCTGAAAATTTCAATAAGATTCATGATATATAGTCTGGTGACAGACGGACTGACAGCCGAGTCTCAATATTACTGAGGGTCACGTTTTTACCTTTCTTTGACTACGATACCTTAAAATCGGCTAGAAGGATTTTAAAAATTACTTCATCTAATGCGAAGCTACATCATACGCATGTAAACAGATGGTTAAGTATAAATTTAAAGAAATAAAGTTAGTTCACTTCTGGTATCTTAGATTTTTTTTGTTAATTCTGCAATTGAAAACGTCGACTCACACTTACTGTAATTTGAAAAACAGAGCTGCATTCAATGGTATTTAGGAATCTAAAATAAACAAACAGATTATGTTGATCTATAAATACATCAATAACGTAACAGTAGAGATAATTCCATTAAATTGTAACATCAGTGCCATCAACTGACACGTATTATAGAATGGAACCGCGTCGTTTCACCGACATATTATTTTCGATTTCGTATTTTTCACTCATGTATAATCTTCTAATGATTAAGAGATACCAACGTGCAACGTCGAGTGGCTGTCAAACTTAGTTTTAATTTCGTTGCCACGTGAGAATTTTAAGTATCATTAAATGTTGCCATATTTAGGTTTAATTGTTGTAAGATTAATTTTACCAGTCAAACTGTTGATTTGAAATTTGTCTGTTGTGATTTTTTTTATATCACATAATTATATCGATTTAGATTTAAAGTTTATTCTACAGTGATACTAGTTATTTGTTTATATGCCTGTTGTATTAACGTAATGTACACACTTCAGTACATCAGATTAGCAAATGAACTGAATTCTTAGAATAATAAGGTTTAAAATCGAGTCAATAGCTTTTCAATATTACTACGAATGACCAATTTCTCCAATTGATTGTAAGTCTTAATATTTTGACTGTTAAGTTCGAAATTACAGAAACCTGATATACTGCGTGTGTACATATTAATAAGGTTTGGTATCGATATGGATAGTTCTAACAGTCTTAGTGATAGTTGTCATGTATTATAGTAATCGTGTTATTATGTACAGATGAGACCTTTTTATTATTGTATTGTAATAATTCAATATATGGCTTTATTAATAAATCGATGTAGTTTTCATTGATGTAATGTTACGGCAAAAGTATGCGGATAGTAAAATTGGGGTGGCTGAATCTAATACCTATACAGGGTTATCAATAAACAAGGCTTAGCGTTGGAGTAAGTTTATGCTGAGATTGCAGTTAGTATTAGTCAAAATCCATATTATTAAACAGAGACTTAAGAAAGGTTTACCTAGTACGAGGTCCTACGGGAGTAATATTTGCTCCTAGGTTTGCTTATCCTCTGTATAATATGAATTTGGACTAATACAAAAATTGCAATTTGAGAGTAAATTAATTCCAACGCATAACCTTGTTTATTAATAGCATAAAGGTGTAGTCAGCTGATAGTTTATTTTAGCCGTAACATTTACTTACCCACACACCGATAACTACGTAATTAACCATTAATAGATGTTTACGTGCCTCGCAGCGCCATCTTGGATTTTGACATGAATCTGACCCATTATTCCCTTGTCAGTCAGACTAAATACGGGTAAATTAATGCTTACACCAGTCTCTGGCTGCACCATAACTAGTACTCTATAGTAATGCGTTCAGTTGGCCACAAACCTGAAAGATTGGCAGAAATCTACACTGTATGGGTGCTGCCTTTGGAGAACGTGTAGAATGATTAAAATGTGATTTATTCATCCATCTCTAATAACATAAAAATAGCAATAATATATTTCTATAGGTTGGAAATAAAAAGCTTAACTCATCAGACGTTTTAGTCCTTTCGAAAGCGACAAATTTCCAGAGACCGCTATTGAAATGAAATGCCATAGATTTTTAAATCAGACACTTCCTACTTCGTGTAATGATGATGCCTGCTTTTGAAAAAACGCGTTCGGAAGGTATGCTTGTGGTTATAATGGGAAAATCACATTAAATAAATTGGCATCGGGTTAGGAATGTATTATGGAATTGAAATCAAACTATAATAATAAAAAACTACTTTAAATTTCAAAGCAAAAATATTAGGGATTTGGGGATCCGGTGGGTGTTAAAATTTAGACAACTGATATGATTTACTATTTAAATAAATAGTATAAATTAACAAGACACCCGAGGGTCTATTCTACTTGTCTTTGAACGTAAATTAAGCAAGTTTTTAATTCTTCTTATAATAGGGTATCTGACAACTTTTACGGTCAGTTGTACAAACGTCCATTGATGTTTAATGGACGCCTTAAAGATCTAATGAATGTTAAATTTATATGGGTGATGTCGCTTTAAACTAATGACAATTTTAATGGACGTTTGTGTAACTAGCTGATAGCGTTATAAGGCAACTAAGTAGCTGATAGCTTTATAAGTTATTAATAATGTGTTATTTACTAAAAACATACATTTCACTATTTTAAACGAAATGTATATTTTTTGTAGATAAGAAAAAAAATTTTTTTTGACATTTTATCTGTGATGAAAACTCCTTGTAGATTTGGTTTCACGAAAGAAGTCCCTCTGATCACAATGTTTTCGCTTTTATTACAAAGGAATAAGAGTTATGCTTTCGTAAGACATACTAAATGTGGTTTAAACTCCGATGACGTCACAAGCTAGTAAATTGATGAGGTTTATTTATTTACTTGCGTGTGATATCATAAGCAGCGTTTTTCACGCGGTTTCGGAAAATTAAACTTTAACATTAATTTTCATTGATTAACAGTAATGTGCTTATTATGTAGGTAATAAAGAATAGTTTAAAACAATTTTTCAAAATAAGTCAAATACACTATTTTGTTAGAATCATACCCGTAAAGATTATCTGGGCATTAGTCAGTCAGTGTCAGCTTCTACATTCGTTGCATCATAAAATTCATAATTTATCTAAGAAATCGTATCTTTGGAGTCATATCAGCATTTCGAAAACAGACGTAATATCGTTTTCGACGAAATAGAATAGACCTTCAGGTGTCATGTTGATTCGTACGGCCAGTGAAATTCCTCTTTTTAGGTGTAAACTCAAAATCGGTCATTAGACTATCAATCTGGATCGAGATCAGACTTGTAAAATTGCGAATTTTTATACATACAAAAATAAAATTATCTGGAAAAATTGTCATCCATTTCATCCAAAACATTTTACAAATCTGACATCAATCAAATAAAGATCACAGATCGATTTTATGTGAGATTGTGTAATGGCGCGAATAGAGTTGGCGAATTTGTGCAACATAAATCTATACTAATATTATAAACTGAAGAGTTTGTTTGTTTGAACGCGCTAATCTTAGGAACTACTGGTTCGAATTGAAAAAAAAAAATTATGTGTTGAATAGACCATTTATCGAGGAAGGCTTTAGGCTATATAACATCACGCTGCAACTATTAGGAGCGAAGAAACAGTGGAAAACGCGGACGAATTCGCTGGCGGCCACTAGTGATCCGATAAAGTAGCCGCAATGGTAAATACAATAGTGAGCTGACCGACGACGTCCAACATATCGAGATCGAGCGACTGAAGACTCGTGTCAGTTGGCATTAACTGATTCGACGTGTGTAGGTACGGTTTATGCCGCACATTAAGCATATTACCGCGTCAGCATTTACATTTTCTATACATCAACAGTGCAATCAAGGCATTGTCGCGAGCATCAAGTATCAAGTGTTTCATTCGCTAATAAATATTAAAATCAACAAGGATTCTTATTTATCAATTTACAGCCAGTTGCACAAACGTTCATTAGTTTAAAGCGACATTACCCATACAAATATGACAGTCATAAGAGCTTAAAGGCGTCATTAAACCCTAATGGACGTTTGTGCAACTGGCCGTTAATCAGTTAGTTCGTGAATCAAGCAAAGTGCGCTAACAACGTGATTATCTGTAATTTTTCACATCTTTCGCGATCATTTTTTGAGACACGAAATATAAACCTTGCGTTCTCAAAAATGCAGTCAACAAACAGTACGTCAGGTTAAGAAAATGTGAAATTTCTCCATTTGATTTTAAATCTTAATATATTGAGATTAGAATTCGAAATCAATTGTAGAAAAACATTGTGGTAATCTGACTCGCTAGTTTTAATTGTCTCTCCCAACTCGCTCAATTGTCACTTAAAGTACCGACCACCCTTATATTATATTTCAAATATTACTTTCCTCGGATGCGCCCATCTAATATTTCACTCTTCATAATAAGCGTGTTGGCTAGTCATAGCTGGTAATTGGTAATTTGTGGATACAGGCGTAGATTGTTAAAGATCCTGGGATATATTGAACTTATATATAACACTTTTTTAATATATATAAGGTGTAATGTTATTATATGTCAGGATTAAGTATACCGAACAACTTTTACTATGGGAGCAACACTGATTTGACGAAAAAATAATCAGCTATTTCATACTGTTGGCGATTTTAGATATTATAATTTTGTATGAAACAGCTGATTGTTTTTTTGGGAATTCAGGGTTGCTCCCATTAGTAAAAGTTGATCAGTATACTTAACTAATCCACTCCACGAAGTCTTGGTATGTAATAATATTACACCGTATATAGCTAAATAATTTGTAATTTCATCTATTGTTGTATTGAATTAGAGGTGGGTCAACTATTATTATAGTATGTGTAATGCTCAAGCTAATATGTGAGAACAACTTTTTACAACAAAAAGATTATGTAAAACTAATTAATAAAATAATGTATATCTCACGACACTATTATTAATATACAACCAAACGTATCAAATATTAGAACAAAGTAAACTCTGTTCACATACAGAAAGTAGGACATACGGACATGCCACAAATAAATCATGGAGCACATCGAACAGGATAAGAAATCAAAAGCGAGCCTCGTGTTCATAGCATTTAATCAGTAAAATAGTCAAAATTCTACAAGAATAGGCAAACGTCACAACTTCACGTGGAAACGCTTAAGAAAAAATTTCAAGGCAAATATATAACATTACATAAAAAGTTTTCAGATTTATTCTTACGCACATCAGTGTAACACCAGAAATTAATAAACCGAGATCGACACTACTGAGAAACTCTGCCGCCGACAGACAAGTCTATGGTGATAAGAGCTCGTGTGATGGGGGTAGTGGTGATCGACGAGTGATCGCTAACGGGGACAGGGGGCCGCCAATCCAACAACGCTCGTTGTGACAGCAGCTGTCGCCTGCGCGCGCGCAGGGAACTGCCGGCCCAACCTCGCGCTCGGGCGACTCGCGTCACCTGTCCCCCGTCCCTTACCTGTCCCCTGCCTGCCTGCCGCCAGGTATACGCCGACGCGGGTCAAGCGACTAAACGTACGTAACTCGGCGAGCGCCTACCTGCGGCGGCGGGGCTATCGGAAGCGCGGCTGCATGACCGGCAGGCCGGGCACGCCGCCCGGGAACATGGCGCCCATCTGCATCATCCCGCCCGGCAGCAGCATGCCTGCACACAACCGTGACAGCGTGACGTCAGAGGGCGCGGCGGGGGCGGGGCAGCAACAGGGGACCGCGCGGTCCAACACACGGCGGGTGCCTGGCCCCGCCGTTGTGACTGATCAACAATCGCCTGTCACCCGGACCCCGAGCCCGGACCACTACACCCCGCTGCATGCATGCGGCCCCGACCATACCCGCCCCTGCACCTAACCCTCACCGACTCATTTTTATTACGCAAAATGTTGCAAAGTAAATCTTTTGTCACTGAACAGTGTATACGTTGTCATATGATTTTTAACATAAAATGTGGCAAAATTAAAAACAAAGTGTCAAATTTTGACCTAAAAATTTACTAACGCGTCTAGTGATGTGATATTTATCGTTGTCATTTCATATCAGATAATTAATTTATGCAATTCGGACCCAATGACGGTTTGCTACGTTCCATCTCCTCCGAAAAAATATTCTTTCGTCGTAAGGTAAAAAAGTCCACATTTAGACTTATTTCCATATTTACGAGTCAAACTATTAAAAGCTGCGATTCTAATGCATTAATTTTTAAAGTAGCTTCACAATTATGTCGAGTTTTGACAGCTGTTATAACCTCGAAACATGAATTACAAATTACGATATATAATCTCCCTGGCTTTCAAATAAAAAAATGCTAAGATATTATTATATTTTAAGCAAAATCTAATGTAAAATAATCACTAACATTGGATAGACAAAAAAAACATGTGACAGGTCATTCAATGTATGGAAAGAGGACATGATTTTTTAAAATAATAGTGTCTTCACACAGTAGTGTACCCGATATCGTATAACTTTAAACGAACATTAGGCACGGTAATTCCGCACGTGTCTCCCGACAGATGTGAGGTGGTAGCGAGTATGCGGTCCCATGTATGCACTGGGGTGTGGCGACTGATTTGTTTAAGGTGCAGAATAAGCAAAGGAACACAGGTAGGTAGGATAAATAATTCACATGAAAAAATCACACTTTCAAAATACTCGGCGATATGTATAACGTATCCGTAGTTCATGCATGTATTCGAGTGTGATCCGATACGGTTGCTCGAAGAATCCAATTCAGCCAACGACTATTAACTCTTCGTTTCATGCACATTGTAAAGCGACAAAACTACTGTACGTAAATATAATATTAGTGTACCCACCCGTCAAAATCGACAAAAAAAGTCACAATTTATTTTATTTTCATATATGACACTACGAGAAAATCGAGACAGTTATAAGATAAGAGCTACTACAATAAGCAAATCCATTAAGGAATGTGAATAAAGTTACCGCTCATTTTCATTCCGTTCCTCCGATAGTGCGGATGGCACATCATAATCACACATTTTTAGTCTTGACAGTGTTTTGTCTGAACGAACGTATCGCATTAGGTGGGAGGCGGGGGGAGGGGGGGGGTGAGACAGACCGCCCGGCGTGTTAGTTGGGGTTAGGGAACTGTGAGTATCGGACAAGCTTGTTATGTGTTGACGTTACTATATATTTATATATAGAGAGAGATAGATGTACGCTGTCCGCGGCTGTAAAACACAATTGGCACCCACCGGGCGACAACCACAGCAGACTGGTCAGATATCGCAAGCACTTCGCTCTTGTGCTGCCTTCGACACTAGCCAATTAAGCCGAGAGCTCGTCCGCGCTCTTAAAACACAATCCAACTGTTTACATATATCATATATTATTGTTATCATCTATTTATATGCTAAAATCTGTCACGGTGTAGGTTCAGTAGTCGTGGAAAATAGAAAGGATTCATACAGTGATCTAATATATTATTTATTCAAAACAAACACTCCATTTTCCACGCTGATATTATGTAACATGTCTGATCGATACAAAATGAATGTGTTGTCATTAATTATAATACTGATGAGCAAACTTTGGAAATAAAATTCCGGGACATGTGATAATTAATATTAAAACGTATGTATTAATACTAAGAAAAACGCACCCAATCTATGTTATACTTAAATTAATAAAATGCAAGTAATACTGTTTAAATTTTACAACTATATCTTTGTGAAAATTTTATGGCCTATTATACATTGAAATGGAAATTTTTAGGAAAATAATTTAACTCATATATTTAAATGGCTAACTGAATGTTATATAAAATTTAATAATTTAGTTTTTATAATCACAATTTTTAGTTTTAACAATTACTTTCTTTATGATCAAAATGACATAAAAATACATTTAATCATACTATTATCGTGATGTATATTATAAAAATGTTCTGTGCATTATTTCTTATATTTATATAATTGTTACAATCATATTAGATCTCCTACATATCTAAAAGTTATTTTCAAACTATAACATTGTTTATTAGGCTTCATTTAGAATACATTAAAATATAGATAGACCTTTTCAACAATTATAAAACAATGCCTAACAAAATTTCTCAGATTCAGATCTTGATTATAATTAAATCAAAAATTCAATGTATGAACTTCACAAGACAGTAATGTGACATGGTTCTTTTTACGTTTAACTAAATAACTGTGATATTTATGAATCACTTATGTCAAACAATTAACAGTACAAAAAGATATTAATAGTCAAACACACAATGTGTGTAATTTTGTTTGTGGCTTGGGTTTACGCAGGATAATTTTTAATTTAAAATTCAACTATCACTTTAAACACAAACTAATAGTGATCAGCTAATAAGACATAATTATTCTTATGAGAAAATTATATAAAAAAAATATTATAATTCGAGTTCCCCAAATAAAAACACAAACCACAAACAAAAACACGCCTATCTCGATTCAAAACTGATTTGCACACGTTTTTATTCTTACAAAAATCTGTATTGTCAAAAAAAATCGACTCCTGCATAATAGAAAAAAATATTCAACTACCGTCGCAAATTTCCAATCCTAACGGTATTCGTACGTGGTGTAATACTGACCGGGCTGTATCGGGCGCATGAGGTTGAACTGCGGCATGACCGGCAGCACGCCCATCACCGGCGGCATGGACACGGGCACGCCCACCCGCATCGGCTGCGGCAGCATCATCGGCTGCATCAGCGGCCGCCGCAGCGCCGCCGCCGCCTGCTGCCGCGCCGCCGCCACCGCCGCGTTCATGTGTGCCGCCACCTGTACGCCAATTCTGCTAATGTTATCCCTATTAGGGATGATGACTATTTTTCTTTTGTCTGTCCGTCTGGTAGATTATTTAATAATATTAAACACGTATTTTTTTGAATTGAAATGTGACGTAACGAGCCCCCACTCCTCAAATTTGATGCTTATTATGTAAGCCATTTCTTGTTACATTGAAGCAAAAAAAATATACGTATCTAATATTTTTCTACTGACGTACTAAATAGATTATTTTGTAACCCAGTCATCAACCCTATAATGGAAAGTCAATAGCGCTTCAACTACGATCCTTAGACGCAACTCCTGTTGCTATATCACAACACATTGCCCTTATAATTTTAAACTTCCACAGGTCAGTTCTGCTAATGTTTCCGTAATTAGAATTTAAGGTACTCACATGTTACCATCGCATTATCTACCTGAAGTCCAATATTATCAGTGTGACGTCTTCCTCACACATTAACGGTGACAGATATATAATAATATCAGACTTCAGGTAGATAGTACGAAGGCGAAATGCGAGAAGTTAAGATAATATATTGATATGCAATTGTTACTTAAACATTAGCAAAATTAGCCTGCAGGTAGACAAAATGCAAGTAGTTGAGACTCTATCGAGATGCGTTATCACGTAAACATTAGCAGAATTGAGGCTCTGCGCATGTGCCACATGTCGCTCCCGCGTTCGCTACTCGTATATAACGCGCCACTACCTACTAGTCCTTACTCTCGAACACAGTCACGACCGATCGACATTGCAATTGTGCCGCTTCGGTAGTGAAACAATCAAGAGTGCGAAGCGGCACAATTGCAATGTCGATCGGTCGCCATTGTGTTCGATATTGGGCTGCTCCTCGAATGTCGCTCCTGTTATATATCGCACCGCTGTGTGTGTGAGAGAATTTCTATAAAATACCCGGCATTATATATATATTTCACTCGTGATATCAATAGCAGGCAAAAGGTGAACGTATGAAATTCTTCCTGGTCGGCAACCGTGCCAATTACTATCAAACGTAATCGCGATAGACATTGCAATTGTGCCGTTTCGTACTTTCGATTGGGTACACTAGCGCCAGAGTATGCAAGTAAACTAATCAACAGTGGTCGTTCGAGTTTAAGGGGGCAGATCCCGAGATGTCGCTACAGTAAAACACTTCTAATATCGCTTGGCTCTGCGTAGAGAATTAAATTTCGAAACATGGCAAATGTTAACCAAACAGAATGATTTAAGTAGCGCGTCATCGACTCAAACACACGTCTGTACCCAATTGAATGTAACTGAAACGGAATCCTAACGATCTCTGACCGTAATAGGAACGGGCCAGGCAAAAAACATCCTTAGTGATGCAAATGCCGATTGTTATAAAGTCTATATCTGGTTAGCGAATTTGGAATGCAATCAAATCAGTATTGACGATTTATTGCAACACTGACCTATAGTCATTTGCAATACAATTTACTATATGATATTATTATTTGTAAGTGTAAGTTTAGTACTCAACACTTAGTATCGAATAATACGAGACCGACACCCACTAAGCCCGCCGGATCATCGATAAAAACGAGTATATTATGATCGGACCGTCAACAGAATATGCCGCCTGCGTCAAAATGCGAGCATGGCAAGTGGCAAGTCTAAAATTCTATTTGTCACATAACACAGTGAATTGTACTGTAATGATATTTATCTTGCGTCTACGGAGTTTTATCTATAGTGGTATTAAGCCAATCTATACTAATATTATAAAGTGGGAAGATTTGATTATTTGTATCGAGTAGGCTCCGAAACTATTGGATCGATTCGGGGTCGAGAAAGGCTATAATTTACGCGTGCGAAATCGCGGGAAAACACCTAGGAGTTTTTTGGTATAATATAACTTACACTTCCCAAAAAAATATATTTGAAAGTAGTATGAAGTGATTTAGGGCGGGCGAGGGGCTAACACGCATTTTAATAGTTTTTAAAATTAATAGTTGCCTAGTAGTATTAATCATTTTTAAACATATTTTATTTCTCCGTTAATATTCAACAGTAATAATAAATACATTGCCCCAGCGGTTATTCAAGTTTTTAATTAATTTTATTCAAATTTTACGAGTGTTAACAGTACCGCGTTTCGCCTACCTGTTTTAATTAATATGAGCCATAGAACAAAATTTTCTTTATGTAAATTTATAGGTATTTTGATCAAATGTTTTAAGATTATACCAAATCGTAAGCATTTAATGTAATAAATAAAGAGTACGACAAACTAAAGGAGCGGCAGTCATGTGGCGCTAGTTCTGTCTCACAAAAACTTTATTAAAATAACTTTATTTTTTTATCAGAAAATCTCAGACATGTTTCAATAGAACGCTCGTTTGCGAGAAGAACAATGCAATAAGATTTAATCAATTATAATAATAAGTATTACAATATAATAAGTTTACTTGTTTGTAGAGTAGCTCGGTGGCGTTGTCACGAGATGGGTGAACAAATTATTATTATCTCGAGCTACTCCGTGCTTTGAAACGCACTTTAAGCCGTTGGTCCTAGCTACATTTGCAGTCGTTAATACCCTCCAATCAGGCCAGCTTGGATGGTCCAAGCCCATTCTTTTTAACCATCCATAAGGCCTGAGCCCCCGCAGTGGGGACGTAAAAGGTCTGATCATAACAATAACTTGTTATTTTAACTATTAACAAAATTGATAAGACTGTTATTTAGCTTATTATACCGTTTGTGCCACACATATAAACAATATTGCTAATGCCCTTTTTAAATACCGTCATTATTCTTGCAAACAAGCAAATTGCTAAATATGTACAGAACCGAGCACCACATTTAGAAACTTAATAATGATAATAAAAAGTAACGGTGACAAAAGCACCGCCGCCCGCGATCATGTGCCACATGTAATTACCGTTTGCGACATGTACGCCGCCTGCATCTGGAAATGGTACAATATACACCATTTAATTTTGCCGCTGCCAACAAACACTTTGCGAGGGAATGCAGCAGTAGTGCCAACTGCAGTGTGGCAAAATTAAATAGAACATATTACATAGTTCAGTGAAATTCAACAAACATGGCCCCTTGTGATGATTAAAAATGTATAATCAATTCAGCTTCAAATAGCATAATGCATTAAGACGCGCGAATTTTCCGGATAGGATTTGCCGCGCGTCATAATTTAAAGTTAATTTATACAAGTATATTAGCCATTTTTGTTGAGATTAATTTTAATAGTTTCTTTAATATACTATACCAAACCCAATAAAAGCAAAATATAGATATAAATATAAAAAATACACAATTATGTACTAATAAACATATTACTGAACTTGATCCAAATTAAATAAGGATATAATTTGTCAAGAATGACACAATTTTTGGTTTGGTGTAGTTCCTGACACTTATTTTAGTAATTACACATCAGGTAATCCAAATTTTAAATCTTCATTTGTTAAACATTAGATTCATAATTTCTGTAGAGTATTAAATTATCATTATAAGCATGTTTTAAAAGGCAGTTATTCTTTTGCTCTCACCATTGTCATATTTATCTTTAGCGTGAATTATAATAATATTATAAGAGATTTTTATAATGGTATACTACAAGACAAAGATTTGTCTATACTTAATATTACAAAGAGGAAGGATAAGATTCTTTGTTTGTTTGCAATGAAAAGGTATAGAAACTATTGGACCAATTTGAAAAATCCTGAACTCTATGTTATTTTGACAGTTGCCTTTTGATTGTTTAAATGATATAAATAATGACTTACCTCAGCCTGGCTAGTGCTAGGCGTGATGATGGCCGTGGGGGTCGGTTGTGGTGTGGGGGCGTCAGGTTTAGGCTTGGGCCGGTACTTGGAGCTGCGAGCACGTATCTCTTCCAAAGACACATCCTCCGGAGGGTGAACTATCTTAGAGCCGGCTCCTGTGGCCGTCACCAGGGGACATGAGTTAGCTGCTGGAGGTTTCACATCACCATTCTCTTTGGGCTCGGAATTACTCGACGTTGACGTCGTAGGAGGGGCACTTATTGTGGCATTGCTGTTGAACAATTGATATGTGATTAGTATGACAGAATATTTACCTAATTGAATAGAATGCTGATTAGCAATTTATCTGAGTTTAAACTTGGTTAGCTTGAAATTGCTATTTGAATATTGAAATTTCTATACTCAACTCCTACCTATAAAATGAGGGTGTCACATCATTAATTAACCGATAGAATTATACAAAGATGGTGTATAGTAGTGTTGCCACATTTTTGGAAAACACTTCCATTTAAACAATACACAGTCAGACGGGCTGGTCAACACCAATATAGCTGTTTAAATTTGATGGATATTATTGATCGCTATGCTTACATGGAATTAAGGATTGTCACTTTTTAATTTCCTAAATAATATCACAAGTCTTCTAAACATCCTAACAGTTGTAAAAGTGGTGCTAAGTATTGAGACTTCACTACAATTCTGAAGAAAATAAAGTATGGATGTAAAGAATTTCATATGTTGACTTTTGTGCCTACTGATAGGAATTATAAATAATTTTGGTTCACTCAACTATGACAAAATTGGCTAGATGCATTTGTGCAAGCGTAATAGCAATATTTTTGCATACAAGTAAAATTTTTATGTAGTGCTGGGTCATTTTAAGATCCTTTTTCTGTTAAGTGACCATGCAATCGGTTCCAAAAAATTATATTAGCATAAAAGCAGATCTTAAAAAGAATTTTAAGATCCATATCATTTTAATTAGATTTAATTTATAATTCCATGTATACAGTATCACAATTTTTACAGTATCCCTAAAATAAAGTAGTTGTCACGAAATAAATATAAATAATGTCTGCTAAAATATAATAAAATCATGAAACTAGGTATTTACCTGTACGCAGGGAAAGTGGGTTTACTAGGTTGTGACGTTGGTATGCTTGCAGCAGGAAACAGTGGTCGCATACCTGGCATCATCATCCTGAAATAAAAATGTATCAATAATTTAAATATGACGATTTCATTTTTCTTTCTGACAACTATACACTATCAATTTACCTTGGTGCCTGCATGAATGGCGGCATCATGGGGTTCATACCCATGTGCCCTGGATACATCCCTGGAGGCACAGGCCCCATTGGTGTTGGCAAAATTCCAGGCGTCACATTTGACGGCCCAGGTCCTAACTGTTGACAAAAAATGATTGTTGTTATCAAAATATAAAATCATACCACATATTACTAAAAAAAATTCTACCAATGCAGGTGTAGCCTTTTTCTTTGCTGCAGGCTCATCATCATCACTGTCAGATCCTTTACCACCACCTAAATAAATAACAATGTATTATTCACTGTTTAAATTTTATTCAATAGCTATTTATTTACATATGACAACTCTACACATTTAACAACAACTAAGCTATTGAATTAATAAAATATGGTTTTGTACATACATTTTGATCCGAACAGTTGTATTAATAAAATAATGTTTATACCTGATTTCTGCTTCTCATGTTCTCTTATATCTTCGGGTGGAATACCTTCCATACCATAGATTTCTATTTCTATATTTGACCTATTTGGTAATGAATTTGGTACTTTATCTATGGCTTCTTTGTGTACCTGCAAAAATAAAAAAAGATAACTGTTTTGTCTGTTTTATTGATTTTCAATGCATTTTATAATTATTTACAAACTTTAAGAGGATGGTTAATAATGTAGTTCATAATAGGAGCTGATTAGGACGCGCCAAAAATTCTAAAGATATATTCTACTGCCCGCGTGCTATGAACGTGGGCGGGCGGGGCGCTTGCCAATTCGGTGAGGGTGACGTACCTGCATGCAGTGTATTGACAAGCCTGGACCAGTGTACAATTTCTTGTGGCAGATGTGACATTTAAAATGTTTCGCTTTTTGATGTTGAATCAATATCTTCTCGTCATCGAATTCTCTGTTACAATACCTGAATACTTGGCTGAGGAAAATTATTGCATGTATAAACTAAATAAAGATTTGAAAACATAGTGTAAATACAATCGACCCAATTTCGAAGGTCAAATTATTTCGCAATGCGTTGTAAGTGTATTTGAAAAGGATACCAGCACCAAGGTTTTGATGCCTTCTTCTTCTTTCTGCCCATGTTTATAACAAACTTAAATACTAATGTAAACTAAATACACCACTGTAAACTTATGTTAACTAATAGATAAATAAAACTTTATCACAGGCACAATAACACCTAGAATACATAAAACTAAGCACAAGTAAAGTAACACACTCTTTACAACAAGAAAGCAAGCTATGCAAAATGGCGATCGATCACTCGTAGGGATGCAACCATCCGATTAATACAAGTATTTACTCGATACTTTTCTTTTGATACCAATGAGGAAGTATTTAAAAAAAAAGGTTAGTTCCCGAAATCAAACTAGATGTCGCTACGGTACTTTCTTGATTTCTCCATGACAACCCTTACGATTTTCTTTAATGTATAACTGTAAATTAGTTCTCAAAACTCAATAATCAACTCAGATTCTATTTGTACTTTTTCATATTTGTATTGATATCTAAGTTTTGAACTTTGCGAAGGGGAATATTTTTTTGGTACTTTATTCCGAAAAAATCTAACCACAATAAATAAAATTATCAAAGAATTGAGTCTAGACAATTCTTTAAAAAATTATGATGATGAAGAATTAATTTAAAAAATTGGTATGGTTTGTCTAGAAACACTAGTATGCACAGCCATAATAACTCGTTTTAAAAAATAAAACACAAAAAACTAAAATTAAAACCCGCAAAGGGATTTTCGTCCACAGCCTAGCTTTCGGTAGGGTACTTTTGTGTAATTACGAAAGTGGGGAAATTCCGGTAAAAGCAATATGTTTGCAAAAAGCAATATTTTTTACTTGGTAAAAGCCTGTGTAATAGTTAAATTTACGGACACAAAATGCCTGATTTGTTGTTAATTCGTTACTTTCTCGATTCCTGAAAGTGACGATTGCCTGTTTTTTGTATTGCCCCAATGCACCTTATAACAACTTAGCGTCCCTATTAGACGAGTCATATATCAATATTGTGAAAACCGAATTCATAATTTGTTAACTATGTTTTTATTATAATAAGCTACGCACTGAACAGACTCAAACCGGGTCTAATCTGCGTTGACGAGCTTCGATTCGTTTAAAATATCTCTGTATTTGACATTGAGAGGTCTGAAATAACAATAATTGTGGCCAGACTAAGTATATATTATCGTTGATATTTATCAGCGAATCCAAATTTTTCCACGCGACTTTGTCCGCGTTTTATAGTTATTATGGACAGCATTTTTAAAAATGCTAATGTAATGTAACAGTTTACTTAATAAACTGTCCTTGTTTTGAATGTTTAGCTGATGTGTTTATTTCCTTTTTAATACAAATTAATTTAAAGGTACAATGTTAACAATTGTACTATGGAGGTAGGCAGACATAGGAGCGCAGCGCGGCTCATAGTGGTGCAATTGTATTTAAATGACTTCTCGCGAATCAATACATTCATTTGATTTGATTTTTCCAAATTGTGTGTTAGTGTTAAATAACCCCGAAATCGGACTTCTTCTTCTACCCCAGTCCTCCTGAGCTTCGTGGATCTTCGGTGCTGCTGACCGGAGCTGACGACGGCTCTACACCCTTCTCAGCCTCTGCCCGGCCAGTGACGCTGAACCCGCGAACTCGTCACTAAATCCCCTAGCAAAACTTAAAGCTAAGTCCTCCCCTCATAATACTAGATACAAGAACCTTAGCGAGCGAATGTCTTTACCTACCCCCTGAGAACAATAATAAAGGTTGTTAAACTTTATTTTTAGTTTTATTCTTTATACCTGAAGCCTGGGGGGTGCTTCTCACCCCCCATCTACAACACAACGCTACAAAAATAAATATTATTCATACCTGAATATAAAGTTTCGTGATTTTATCTTTAAATTTTAAATCTCTATTCCAACCATATTATTACAAAAAGGCACCCTATGTCCTCAAACCAACTATCTGTAGTAGCGTGAGAGCTTAACAGACTTATATCTACACAAATCTAGTTTCGGTATATAATGTGGTGATAATCTCAATTGTAATATTCTTGTTTTATATATATATAAAAAAATGAAAATAATAAATCAATAAGTTTTCAGCGATACTTGCTATAAAAAGTATAGTGTCCTCATGGGCACTAAGCCCGAAAATCGAAACTTTTAGTACTTTTGGGCATTCGAAGTTTTTGATTTTGGATTCTAGCAAAATCAATAAATCCTTGTAGAATCGGCCCAAAGTTCAATTAGACATAAAAGAAAAAATACGTATCGAATATTTTTTCAAGACCTTTCGAACGACACCCTATTTGACCCCCCCCCACTCCCCCACCTACGGGGGTGGAAGGGGAGCGGTTTTTTGCGAAAAAGTTCTTTTATAATGTTATAATGGCCTCATGATTGACGGAACACTTGAGCCGTGCCCGATTGACCCCCCACCTACTCACCCACCCACCACACGCGGGGGCGGAGGAAAGAGCTGTTTTTCGCGAAAAAGTTCTTTAAAATCGTGTTCATGGCCTTTTGAATGACAAACACTCGAGCCATGCTTATTTGTTGGCCCTACAAGGATTTATTGATTTTGCTAGAATCCAAAATCAAAAACTTCGAATGCCCAAAAGTACTAAAAGTTTCGATTTTCGGGCTTAGTGCCCATGAGGACTTTTACTCAGGAAGACTTCCTCTATCCATTCATCATAGTTTCATCCGATTTGACAGAAAGCCAATTTCCATAAGGCAAGGGCGGGGTCCTTTTTGGAACAAAATTACATATATTTTTTTATTAGTCTTTAGTGACTAGTCAATTAGTTATACATCTATTTTTAGAAAATAAACAAATATTTAGAAATAAGTAGGTACTTTGGTACAAAGTTACAAAAAGTAATATAAAAAATCATATGGAATGCACAATAAATGAATTAAAATTTAAAAATTCAGTCTTACAAGCTTTCAGTCATTTGTTGGTGCATGACAAGCTTTGGTGACACTTTGAAGTACAAAGTGTTGTGTTTTTGAAACATGTGTATCTTTTTGTACGGCATTGATTTTTGGCTGGCTTGCAAAAGCATATTTAAAGCCTTGACCTCCGAATAAAGATTGGAAATTTACAGCTTCACAATAATCTTTAGACGACATATGTAGGTCCTGCCGTGAAAACCAATTTTTAATTGTCCCGGAACCCGTTCCGATTTTGTATACTACGTTCCTAAAATCAACTACCTTTCCAGCAATATTTTTGGTGTCTAGAGGTCCACGGTAAATTTTCGGTACATTCAAAAACACGGAATTCCCAATTTCTAACAGAGGAAGTTTCTTAGCGGTATTATCGACCATTTTCTCAGCAGCACGTTTAACACCGCTATGAGCTTTATTTCTTTCATTAACAATCAACTGTTCTTTTTGGCAAAGAAAACATTGAACTTGAGATCCATAACCTTCTTCTCCACAAGCAACGCCACAAATAGCATGTACAGGTTTGGAACACAAACTACAGAAATGAGCTCCTCATATGTCCTGACCACAGACGAGACACACAAGACCATCAGTTGACTCTAATTCCATATTATCTATCTCCATTACTTCAATGTTAGACAAACCCTCGTCAGCAACTGATCCATTCACTATTACGTCATCTGACGGCATAACATTAATTATCTCTTTGTTCTCTGCTGTATGATTTATTTGGCCCGATTCTTCCTCCTTTTTCCCTTTCTGGTTGATTTGGTTCAATTCTTCGTTAATCTTCCCTTTATGATTTATTTGGTCTAATTCTTCCTCCTTTTTCTCTTTCTGATTTATTTGGTTCCATTCTTCCTCCGTCTTGATTGATGTCATAATACTTTCAGGAATATCACTACCTTTTAATATAGTTTTACAGAACCAAACAATGCACGGTAAGGAGATCTGCCAATAATGCGGTGGTAAGAAGAGTTTTTATAGAATTGAACAAAAAAACAACCAATGGACCATTTTGTAGATTTATTATCTTGCATCCAACATCGCAACATATTTTCGACGTCTTGATTGGATCTTTCCACGCTGCCTTGTGTTTGAGGACGTCGAGGACTACCGTGAATAATTTTGCATTCGGGCCACATCGACACCAATTCTTCTATAACATGCGCAGTGAACTCTCTTCCATTATCACTTTGTAATATAAATGGAGCGCCTAATTCTAAAAATATTTTTAAAAGTTCTATCGCTACTTTGCAGCTCTTTTTGATTTGAGTGGTCTGAGGTGTAAAAATTTTGTGGCATGATCTTGGTAATTCATAAGCCATTTAAATTCTCCATCCGGGGCAGACTGTAAATCTATAAAATCCACCTGCCCTCGTGTGTTAAAATCTTTAGAAATTATCGGCTGCGTTACTATACCTTTTTTTGGCACGGCACGTCTCTTCTCACAAACAGAGCACAGGTCAACAAATAACTCAATGGGTTTCTTTGGAATATAAAGTCTATTTTTCATGTGTTGAATCATTTTTAATCGTCCACCATGTCCAACAGGTTTATGAACTTCCTTTAATATTTCAAAATACTTCTCTATCGGAATTATACGAATAGTAGGATCGTCGATGCATTTTTTCTTGAATATAAGATATTCCTCATCCGCAGTTTCCACAATGTCATATTTTGGCAGCCAGTAATAGTCCTTGGACTTCTTTTGCGTAGTCACCCTACTCTCCTTAATTTGTTTCATAACCTAAAAATTAAAAAAAAATCTTTATTATGTCATAACTCACAAGCGCAGAATATTATCAATTAAAGCACAATACATTAGCTGGCATAGAGTATTTTAATAAAATAAGTAAATAATTAATAATTAGTAATCTGAGAGTAAAATACTAACCTGTAAAATGCGATCCAAACTCCACGGCTTTTTTACATTTTGGTCAGTTTTTGCGTGACTTGCATAGTACTCGAGAACCTTTTTGTCGTAAACTTGTTTGTCACCACTTTCTTCATCATTTAACAACGAATTATTGTTTTTTTTACTGCGAGAAACAACATTTTCGCCAACGGCCGCCATCTTCACGCATAAACAAAGCGCCTGCAGCGCCTCTACCAGTAATTAATGTAACTACTTCACGATATGATCGGATAATCATGACCATTTCATGAAAAAGCCACGCGTGTAGTTGCCCATATCGAGAAACGACTTCTTATCATTGATCTGCTCAAACCACATCATGATGTGGACAATAGACATTAAAACATTTCATGAAATGCGACCATTTCATGAAATTATCGAGCATTTTATGAAATGAGCAAATCTACGATATGGCCACGACATATACATAT